CTCCGCCGCGCCCGCCGCCGCGCCCGCCGCTTCCCCTCCACAGGCACCCTTGTAAGTTTCTTTCCCGCGCTCCTCGGTGGGTACAGTTGCGCATCATTATAAGGCATGAGACAAGTACAGTTGATCCTTGGCATAGCGTGATGATTAGGTAGGGGCGTCCCCCTGCCCAGAGTCCGAAATCTGCGTTATAACTTGCCTCCCCCAAAACTTTTATATAGCCTACTCTTCACCAGAAGCCGAACCTGTACACATAGTTTGTATGTTCTATGTATTACATGCTATGTTCTTCGGATGAAGTAAGCTAGAGAAAAAACAATGTTAAGAAAATCATAAGAGAAAATATGTTTACAGTACTATACTGTAGCCAAAAAACTGTATGTGGACTCACAGTTGAAGCCCATGTTGTTCAAGGGTCAACTATAACTTTAGTAACAAAATCATTTTTCATATAGTCACTGTTTTTTAAAATTAGGATATTTAGGATTTTCTTTTGAAAGGGGCGGGGATCCTATCAGATTTACAGTTAAAAATGGCTTTTATGTTGGGAATAATGCTGAATGTATAAATTAATATAGGCAAGTACATGATTCAGTAAGATATTAATTATTAATGACTCCTGAACAACATTCTTAATGTTTCTGTAGTATAAACGTAGCTTAGAATCGTGTGTTTTTGAATGGATAAAATGAAGATTGTTCATCTTTATTTAGTGGGTTTCCTGGGGATGGCATGCAGCAGCCAGCATATACGCAACATCAAAATATGGATCAGTTTCAACCTCGAATGATGACAATACAGCAGGATCCAGTGCACCATCAGGTATATACGTTTTTCTTGCGCTGAGTTTTAGTATGTGAAGATCTGTTCATTAGAGCATATGGATTGCACTTCACAGACCACTATTACTTAGCTGTGTGGCTGACTAGTACTGCAGCTGCAATCAAAGCTATTGAGCATATAATTGACTTGGGTTGTTTTTTTAAAAAGCTTTAATTAAAACAAGCATACTAAATATTACATGCTTATAATTTAATAATAGGTATTTTTGTTAAAATCGTTTAGAGGGAGATTATAGCTCTGTTTCAGGGACCTGGCCTGCTTAGTGGTGCAGCTCTTTCCCTTATGAGGAGCTTTTTTGGGTAGATGTTGTTTGAGATGCTTTAGAGGGTTTTTAGTCTCAGCATTCAGGAGTATAGTTTGAAATCTTCAGTGAAAGGAACATAGCAGTCTGGAAAATTGCAAGAAGTTAGTAGGGATTTGTTTATTGGGTTTATTTTTGCAAATCCTTTATTCAGAGTTTCCTAAACTTTATTGCACAGCTAAATTACAGAGGTAGGGATCTAATGCTAAAGTCAGATCTAAAGAATCTATTTTTTTTAAAAGCGTATAGATTCTGTTTTATAACCAGCCTCGGGAAATACTACTTCATATCCTTGGTTTAGAAAGGTTTCTAAGAAATCTCTTTAGAGTATGTTCATTTTCTTATGTGTATCTGTAATTTGCTAATATTAGGAATTGATACTGTGATTTTAATGACTAATTGATAAGCTTGTTTAAAATATGAAGAAAACCTGTGGACTTATTTCCAAATGTTTAACAGTTACTGAAAGTTTATAAATAAATTAGAAGGAGTACTTCTTTGTGATGTTATAATTGCACTTTTTTTTTTTTTAAGATTTTATTTATTTGAGAGCACACAAATGGAGGAGAGGGAGAAGGAGAAGCAGGCTCCCCGATGAGCAGGAAGCCTGATATGGGTGGGGCTTGATCCCAGAACCCTGGGATCATGACCTGAGCCACAGGCAGATATTTAACCAACTGAGTCACCCAGGCAATTATACTTTAACATTGTTGGTATAGGAATGGCACATGCAGAAATATGTTACATTGTGGTTTACTCTCATTGCTATTATGGTATTTTAAACCCTAAAAGTAAGGATGTTAGTTGAAATTCCCCTTGGAGTAAATTTTTAAAAAGTGAACCTGTATGTCAATGCTATAATTGCCTTTGAAGTTGAAGGGAGACAGTTTGCAGTACAGTACCTCTCTGACTTCTAAGTTTATTCTGTCACATTGTTCCCCATATAAATGAAATTAATGTCTTTAAAGTATATAAAGTCAAGCCTGTGCATTCATAATTTTAAAAATGAGTTCTAGAATTTTTAACCTATATACTTGGATATGTAAAATTCTTCAGATAAAATACCTATGGAAATTGTTTATCATTGTTAATTTCTTGAAGATATTTTAGTTTTATATCAAGTAACTAAGGGTTTTCCGAATTATTTTTGGTAGCTGTTACTTAAAATCTACTCACATGCTTTCTTTAAAAACAAAAGGTTCCACTTCCTCCGAATGGACAGATGCCAGGATTTGGCCTTCTTCCTACACCTCCATTTCCTCCCATGGCTCAGTCTGTGATTCCTCCAACTCCACCCGTGCAGCAGCCTTTCCAAGCTTCTTTTCAGGCACAAAATGAACCACTTACCCAGAAGGCACATCAGGTAAAACTTTATTCTCAGATTGGTTATCTTTTTGGTTGCTTTGACTTATGTGCAGATTCCTGCCTGTTTGCTTGTTATCTTCATTTTTGAATGTGAAGATAAACTGTTGATTGGGCACATATTCACTGTTTCTGTGCCTAAAGCTTTTCATCTGGAAAGTGAACATAGTAATAACACCAATTTCCATAGGATTCTGTGAGGATTGAGATAGAGTATAGAATGCTTAACCAGTGCCTAGTTTACCACTGTAATCAATGGTTTAGTAAAATCATATGTAACTTATATGAAATTCCAGAATTAGAGAAGTGTTTCTTCCAAACTTGTAAACCATACAAAAAATTTTTTTCTCACCAGTGGACAGTCATTATTAAACTAGTAACTTGATGTCAAGTAACCAGAATAAAACTGCCAAGGCAAGAGATTTGTAACTTAGCATTTTTTTAGTTTTTGTCATCTTCCCTCCATAATTTCCAGTTCTCTCATTTAATGATGGGTGGTTATTTTTTGTTGTTTTTTATTGATTTTAAAGGAAATGGAAGTAGAACAACCTTGTATTCAAGAGGTTAAACGGCACATGTCTGATAACAGAAAGTCAAGATCTAGGTCAGCATCCAGGTAATTGACAGAAAATGTTTTTCCAATCCTGTATGTCTTAGGAGACAGATTAAAATCAAACTGGACTATTTTTAGATATGCAGTGTTAATAAAGTAACATTTGGTGTATTTGTATGTCTGTATGTGTAAAGTGGGAGCAGAAGTAGTAATTTAAAAAACTAAGGTCAGTCATCTTGCCCATGCTTTTCTCCTTAGTTGTTCCAATGCCTGCACACATATATGCATAGAAGGATAGGAATTATGTATTCACAGTTCCTTTACAAGTTTATCAGCAAACAAAAGTGAAAAGGTAATAAATAATACTATAATCGGATAACATTTTTAATTGCTGCAGAAAAGAAGTTAACTGATAGATACCAGTAGTAGCAGTCTGTCTCGATAATGACAGCTTCTTACACTCTCAAGTACATGATTTAGTTATAGTACCGAGTTATCAAAGATGAGAGACATTTTTATAAGCTAGCAACCTTATTTATCTCATTTAAAATATGTGCATGCTTTTTAACTTGCAACATATTAAGATTTTTTAAAATGAATTCCCTGCTATTCAGTTATTATGTATCCAAACATTAAACTACCTAGTTCTATTTTTTCTTTTTCAGATTAATACCTGCTTACATTTTCAGTTTTTTCTCTATGTTCTGTCCATTCTCCCCCTCATGAAAATGTTAGGTCACCAAAAAGAAGGCGATCTCGATCTGGTTCTAGATCTCGAAGGTCCCGTCATCGACGTTCTCGATCACGGTCCAGAGATAGACGCCGACATTCTCCTAGATCTCGGTCCCAAGAAAGGCGAGATCGAGAAAAAGAAAGAGAACGCCGACAAAAAGGCCTTCCTCAAATCAAACCAGAAACTGCGAGTGGTAAATTAACCTTTACATTCAAACTTCTTGCATTATTTTTTTCGTATCCTGAGTATAATAAAATGTTTTATAACTGTTAGCAAAATACAGCTTTATTGTCTCTTGTTTGTGCTTTGGCGTACACCCTTGAGTTTGCTTTGATATGTTAAACTAGCTGTAAAACAGCAATAAGGAGTGAACCCAACTAATAGTGATGAGGAATAAAGTGATAGCATGTCTTGAATTTAATGTGTGGAATGGAAAGCAGTTAACTAGCTCTCCTGTACATGGAAAGGTTTTTTTCCCCCCAGATTAACTCTTTTTTAAGAATTTACAGTTTACAGAATATATTAGCTTGCATTGTCTCCTGAATCTCATCATGCATTTAGAATATGTTTAATAAGGTATCTAGACACATTCATGATATAAGTTTGTAGTTACTATTGAAATTTTAATTTATAATACAAGTAGGGCATATGTAGAGCTTCTGCTTCTGGGAGGCTTATAGGATACAACATAAGAGAAAAACCATCTATGTACACTCAACAGTCAGAAAGGGACAGCTGTATTAGTGGACAAAAACGCTGGACTGGTTGTTGATCAAGACAGTTGGGATCGGGTCTTCTGCTCACTTGCCAAGGGTGGCCTTGGACAGGTTATTGCTTCTATGTCCCCAGTTTAGATCTATCCACAAAAGGGCCAGATTTTTTTAAGTCTTATGTTGTTCACTATCCTATTCCATTTCTGGAAGTACTACCACAGTTTTCTAGAATATTTTTAGTTGTATATGGGATTTGCTACTTAACCTTATGGCATCGTGTGACTTGTGCTTTTTTCCTATAATGATTTTTTTATTGTAGAAAAGTATAGTGCTGCTCATTATCAAAATGTATATATTTTTATGATTATAATTTTATTTTAAGTTTGTAGTACTACACTCTGGGTGGGACAGCTGGACAAAAGGACTACTCAACAGGATGTTGCCAGTCTATTAGAAGAGTTTGGTCCAATTGAATCAATTAATGTGAGTATTTATTAAATTATGTAATGACAGTGGACAGTGATTAATGTCACTTTATGAAATTATGGACTTGAGACCCAAGTTAAAATTTGCCCAGCTTTGTAGAAGATGTGGCTAGTGTAGGTGTGGAGTCCATGTTTAGCACTCTGCATTTAACCACATTTCTTAGATAACCAAATTTAATTTGAAACCCTTTCCTAGAAAAGTCTATATTAACAAAGCTTGGAGAACTATAAGTTTATTAAAAACTGGTAGTTGAGACCAAATTTGAATTGCCCGTTTATGATACCTTAATCTCAGATTATAGAACCTGGCTTGGTAGGTTGGGTAGGGGCCAGGGGAGTTGGGGTTGTTGGAGTTGGTTATTTAGTATTTTATTTTATTGCTCTTTGATTTTATTATATTTTATTAAAATGTTTTGGAGCAGATGATTCCTCCCAGAGGTTGTGCCTATATTGTTATGGTTCATAGGCAAGATGCTTATCGTGCCTTGCAGAAACTGAGCCGAGGAAACTATAAAGTGAACCAGAAATCCATAAAGGTACAGTTTTATACCTTGTAATTCACTTTTTAAAAATTTTACACATGATATTACTTGGCTTTTTAAAAACTAATTTTGGACACTGAGACATTTCGTATATGTCTTCTTAAAGAGGTTATCTCCTAAATGTTAACATAAAATTTTAAATGTTGGATTCATGTAGAATTTCATTTTTTAACAAAAAATGTAGATAGGTTCATCAAGGTATTTTTAATTGGTGCTTTAAATATAATGTTTAGTAAAAGATATTGTCATTCAAGATTTTTTGGATTTTATACATTTAAAAAAATTTTTTTTAAGTTTTATTTATTTTGGGTGCCTGTGTCGCTCAGTTGATTAAGCGTCTGCGTTTGGCTCGGGTCCTGGATTCGAGTCCTGAATCGGGCCCCTTGCTCAGCGGGGAACCTGCTTCTCCCTCTGCCTGCCGTTCCCCCTGCTTGTGCTCTCTCTCGCTCTCTCCGTCTGACAAATAAAATCTTAAAAAAAAAAAAAAGTTTTATTTATTTAAGTAATCTCTACACCCAACATGGGGCTTGAACTCACGACCCTGAGATCAAGAGTCACCTGCTCTTTCCGAATGAGTCAGCCAGGTGCCCCTGGATTTTACACATTTTTAAAGTTTGCCATCTCGTTCTTAGAATAAACTATTAAAAATACTCAACAGAGATAGAGAAAAAGATGTAGTAGGTACATGGGTATTCTTCCCATAAGGGGCCAGAGTCAGCATCTCCTCAGTGTCGTAACACTCTACGCTTTGATTGCATTGCAAAAGGATTTTGTCTAATGTTGAATAATTCCAAGGTACTCAAGACTTTGGAAAGTGGTCCCCAGTATGCTGGACTGTACAGGGAACTTCATTCAGATTTTCCCTGATAAACATTATTTTCCTTTTCTCTAAGTTTTATGTTGGCTAAATTGAGAAGTGAGTGGTTGGAAGAGTGAAGAAGGAGCTAATGCCAGTTAAATTTGTACAAAATGGGAGAAAAGGTTAACCAGTTTCCTGGCATCAAAGTGAAATCCGGGGATAGCAGGCCCAGATTGTTCCCCTCTTGCCCCCGAGTCTGAGTGATTAGAAATTCGAGAAACAGTTAAACTCTCAAAACTGATATTCTTCTCCCTTCCTTTCTTTTTATATTTTGACTAATGGTGATACAGATTGCCTGGGCTTTAAACAAAGGAATAAAGGCAGATTATAAGCAGTATTGGGATGTAGAACTGGGTGTTACTTATATTCCATGGGACAAAGTCAAGCCTGAAGAACTGGAGAGTTTTTGTGAAGGAGGAATGTTGGACAGTGATACACTTAATCCAGGTAAAGCAGTATTTAATTTCTTTTAAAATTCATCTATTTTCTTGATTGTACATAGGAAAAATGTTTCTTCACAGTAGGAAGTGGTTTTTGAAATTTTTCAAGTACCCACCATGTGCCAATCTCTCCATTATAAACTGAGGAAAGAATGGTAGATAAGACAGCTGTGGTCTTTGCCCTTAAGGCAACTTCTATTTAGTGGGGCAGATTCAGACATAAATGAAATACTACTGATTGTGGGGTTATTCATTAATTACAGTAGAATTTTTCACTGTGAAAACCTAATAGATCAAATGAGTCTTAGACTGAACATTACGAGGTATTGTGTTTTAATCCAGTGCTTTGTAATAGTTTCTTTGAAAGCATTTACTAGTCCAGAGAAGCAGTCGAAAGTAAACATGTAGACAAGGAGGTGCGTTACCTGTGCCATGAATATTAAAAATGCAAGACTGACAGTAGGATTACAGTGGGGAAAATAGCAGGTGTGGTCACGATCTGGAGATTGATAGATAGCTGGATAAGGACTAGTGCAGGGTGGTATGGCAAAATAGTAAGTGATTAAAGGAGTTTCAAGCAAGCAGAGTTGGTTTGAGAGCCAAAAAGAGGTGAAACAAGGCTCGGCCATTCCCATACCTTGACCTCTTTCCCCTCGGTGCGTGGTGGCTTCACGTAGGTTTCTGTTCAGGCACGTAGGTATCAGGGCTCGACTGTGTGCCAGGCATTCTGGTCAGGGTAAAAAGAATCTTGCTCCTCCCTCCTGGGATCTTTATTCCAGACAGTACACTATTGTGGTTAAGAACATAGACCCTAGAGCCAGATGTGTGTTGAATCCTGCCTCTGCCCCCTATTGGTATGTGTGACGTTGTTTTCCTTAATTTCCAAATTGTTTTCCTCATTTATAAAATGGGAATAATAACGGGACCTACTTACAGATGGTATGAGAATTCACTGAATTAATACATGTTACTTAGAACTGCAGGCGTTCTTTTGCATGTTTGTTATTGTGGTCCATTCACTTAAGTAATATAAGATTAGCATAGACATTTCTTTAATGATCATACTGCTGAGTTTTTTATATAATCAGCATTTTAAAAATAATTTCTAGATTTAAAGTTATAAACTGAAAATGGTAAACTTGTTAAATTTCTTTCACTCTCATAGATTGGAAAGGAATCCCCAAGAAGCATGAAAATGAAGTTGCTCAAAACGGAGGGGCGGAAACCTCACATACAGAACCAGTATCACCCATTCCTAAACCTTTACCAGTGCCTGTCCCTCCGATTCCTGTCCCTGCACCTATAACAGTGCCACCTCCACAGGTAAGAATATTTGGGGCACTATTTAAACTTGTGTCTGAAAGATAAGCCTTTCTGAATCTTACTTATTTAGATACATGTCTAGATTAATGTTCAAAGACATGAATACATAAATGTGCTTATTCAGATTTTGGTATGTCAGACCTACTTTTTATAAACTCTAACACATTTTTCATAAACATCAACAAAATCAAAATAAATCCACCTGTCTACATTATTCAGTGTCTTTATAATGTTTCAGACTTGAGATGCAAACCTAATAGCATTTTATATTTGGCTTCCTCTTGTTTTCTTTTATTGGATCTTTATTCTTTGGGGACTTTATGTTCTGAGGGAACTTACAGTATATATCCCAACAAGCCGCTGATTTGAGGGAAAGAGAGTTTCTTAATTTTCAGTTTGTGTGGTGCTGTCATGAAATTTTTTAATGGATGAGCTATTTAATAAATTGAGTGCCACTTAACATGAAGGTATATTCTTAAACGTCTGCTGTCTGGTCAGTCAGTGCATTACTTCAGAAGAGAGAATCTGGAATTCTAACAGAACACAGTTTGAATCCCAGCTCCATTGTTTATTCTCCACAGTGTGACTTTGGGCAAGTCACCTAATCTAAGCTTTAATTTCCTATCTATAAATGCGTGAATTCCCTTTCTTGGCTTTGGCTCTGGTGCTCTTCCTAGGTCAGAGTTGTTTTGAGGATTAAATGACATAATATGTGTTAAATACTCAGCATGTTTCCTGTACCTTTTTCAATATCTCACATTAAATCTGAATCAAATAAATCTGAACTGTCACAACTGTCACTGCCTTTTGATTTTCCCTCCCTAAGGAGAAAATTACATGCTTTGATACATACTTAGCTGTGATATTTTATAAATGGATTTCCTAAATTGGCAAACTGTTTTGCTGATCTTTTGGACATGCCCGTTCAGCACAGGTTCTAATCAGGATTCAGTGTATATCCCCACTTATTTAAAGAAACCTGACTAATCTGTTAAAATTGATCATACTTTTTTTTTTTTTAAATAGTAGCTAACATATGTTTGGTGTTTATTAAGTGACAGGCACTAGCACTTAACATGTATTACCTCTTTAATCCCCATAACTATGTGAGGTTGGCACTTTTCCATTTTACAGATGAGTAAACTGAGGTCTAGAGATTGTAAATAGCTTACTCAGGGTCACAAAGCTAGTTAAAAGGGGAGAGGGGATAGGCAGTTTGACACCAGAACCTGGGATCTTAATCATTGTAAATTGCCAGGTAGCTTTTCTTAGAGTTGTATTTCTCAGGCTTACCTGTCCATACTCGTGAGATAAAATGTGAATTTGCTATTTTAGAGAAGCGAACAAAAATTTGAATTCTGTCATTTATAGTAGGTACTAATTACTATCTGTTAAGACATAAATTGATTCACACAGTAAGCACAAGTTTAGAAATAGCTTTTTCAACAAGATCTTTTCATCTCTACTTACCATATGGATGGGAAGGTGGCTAGATACGTGGCTTCATTATTCTTTGTTTGTTTTTTAGGTCCCACCACATCAGCCTGGTCCTCCTGTAGTTGGTGCTCTCCAGCCACCCACGTTCACACCTCCCTTGGGCATTCCCCCTCCGGGTTTTGGTCCTGGTGTTCCTCCTCCGCCGCCGCCTCCACCATTTTTGCGCCCAGGATTTAATCCGATGCATTTACCACCAGGTACACTAAGTTGTTAAAGAAGACATTCTTTTTAGAGCCCAAACTAAGGTGACACAACATAAGTTGACACTATTTTTCTTATTCTAGGTTTTCTTCCTCCTGGACCCCCACCTCCTATAACTCCACCAGTATCCATTCCTCCTCCTCACACTCCACCAATAAGCATCCCAAACTGTAAGCATGTTTTTCTTTCGTGTTCACTCGTCCTCTTGGAGTTGGGAGTAGGAGGGAGAATGGACCAGTAATAGGGTCTATAGTATGGCAAAAGAATGTTGACTGGGGAGATAATTATTCAGCTTCACATGTTGATGTAATTATATTCCTTAGCTACTATCGCTGGTATAAATGAAGACACTACAAAAGACTTATCTATTGGAAATCCCATTCCAACAGTGGTGTCTGGGGCTAGAGGAAACGCCGAGTCTGGTGACAGTGTGAAAATGTATGGCTCTGCCGTGCCACCTGCTGCACCCACGAGTCTGCCCACCCCTCCCGTAACCCAGCCTGTTTCACTTCTTGGTAAGTTAATTTTTTTATCATTAGTTTTTTTTTTTCCCCACCCAAGTTAGGTGTCTGTTTTGTTTTGTTTTAAACAATGCTAATTTTGGGAAAATGTTCTCTGAGACTGATACTTTTCTTTGAGGAAGATCTTTCTCTTAAATATGTGCACTTGCTCTTTACCAAGGAGTAGGCCAGGAGACAACCTCAAAGATGAAATCATGTTTGTTGTCCTGAATAAAAGTGTGGATTTGTACATCTTAATTTGGTGTAGGAAAGTGATTAATCTCTATGAGCGGGAATTGGTACAAAGTCCATAATTGATACAACCCCAGACATCCAGCTTTATAAGAGATAGCTTTTCTTTGACAGCCTAGAATTTTTTCCTGTCTGGATCAATTTTTACAAAACCCTGGGCTGTGATAACCTTCTCTGTTGGCTCGCAAAGAAATTATCTTTGATACATTGTAATAAAATGGCTTTATTGTCTGAGTGACAGTTGCACAGCCTGGGGCAATGCTTTCTCACCCCTCAGTTTTCTCCTGCTAGTTTATCTATTGTACTCTTAACACACAATTTTACTACTGCGATCAAGGGAAGTAAGATTTAGATTGTTTACATCTTTAAGGGGCTTACTTGAATTATAAATGATCATTTCATATACTTGTTATGGTGACCATCTTTTAAATTAATAAATTGTTGTATTTTGAGGTGGTTTTGCCAAGTATAATTAACACTTGATTCTCCTAATGGGTAGTTAATTCATCCTTAGTATTACAACATTATAGTCCTGGAAGCCCATTGTATTTTTCAGAGGTATATGTATGTGCACATATGTGCTTTCATCATCTTAGATTTTTTTTTTTAAGGAGAGAGCACATTAGTTGCCTCTGAAATGTAGGACTGTGGAACATTAGTTTGTGATACAGGACTTTTACTTTTCACCTACACCTTTCAGTGCTGTTGGAAATTTTTACTTTGTGCATATACTACATTTGTAATAAAAATCAATTTGTTTTCAAATAGCATGCTGTCTTCTGCCCTCTCTAAGACTGAGCTTAGTCTGATAATAAACTTGATTTTTATTTCCTTTAGTACACAGACTGGGTAATGGTAAAAGAGCATTTGGGATTAAAATTTGTCACCAGTAATGTACCAGTAGTCATCACGGTGGGAAGTAGCTTGTTTAATGAGGAAGTTGCTTTAAGAGGTCTACATCATAATGAAAATCATGCAGTAGAAGGAACATTGTTCTAGGAGCCAGGAAACCTTAAAATCTTTGGATCTCAGTTTTGTTATGCATTTTGTTTTTCATATTTGTACTAAGGTCGTTGCATAAGAATCACAGAATCTGAGTTGGATAGTATTTTCTGATCCACCCCTTTCCTCTGCCTCACACTGACACCCCTGATTGTGAATTCTCTTTGTAATGAAATTTCCTAGTCTACTAGCAATCCATGGATATTAGGCCGCCCAAGACTGTTTACAAAGTGGCATGCATTTGTGCTTTTTTTTGGTGTTAGTAAATCCACTGAAAGCTTTCTTCATCCTCAAGAGTTTAATAACCACTACTTTCAAACAGCCTTGAAGACTAAGTAGCCTGCCACTGATTTAACATTTAGGTCTTGAAGACTACACCCTTTATTTCTTACCACTGCGGAGGTGCATAATTTAAACTCTGCATCCGACATGTGAAACAAAGCACAGATCAAAAGTTGGTGAGCTTGAAAAACAAACTTAGTAAGTTAAGCACTGCTAGAAAAATAATTACATTTCTTAGCATTTTTCATTGCCTGACATGCCTCTGTATGTCTTCCCTCCTTCTCCCTCCCAAATACACACTAGAATAGAAACTCCATGAGAGAGGGACATTTGTTACTTGAGGATGTGGATAGATGGATGGTTTTCAATGCAGGGCTGTTTATACTTTATCTCTGATGATGATCTCTGTAACTTGCAAAACAAAATTTAGAAATTGAAGGCTGTTCCAAATCTGGAAAGATCAAAATGTGACATAGCATAAAAATGAAAACTGTTTTGTCAAAATAAGTACTTTTAACTAAAATGCAGTAGTTTAGTTCTAGTCACAAGAAAGAAAGCCTTTCATATTCCTTCAATTAGAAATCTTGAAAAGAATACCCCATAAATTTTGACCTTTAGAAAAAGGAGACTTTTTAATGTGTATGCAAATAAAGGAGAATTTACCCAAAAGAGGAATCACAGTTCCATCATTCTGATAAAGAAATGCAATAATCACATGTAATACTGCAGCACTGAAGGATTGCTAATTAGGTTGGGATATTGTTGATGTTGACCAAGTAATAGAATATTAGAACTAAGATGCTTTCAACTTTCTTCTTGGTGCTCTAATGTTTCTCTTACGATAATAAAAAGAAATGCTATGCTGTACCAGGAAACTTAAAGCCTAGAAGGTGATATGAAACTCCAGTTTCTTCATCTGTTTAAAAAAAAAAAAGAATAAAAATGACACACCAGGTGTTGTGGTGATTCAATGGGCTAATGTATATAAAATGACTGACATGTGGGGCCTGCCACAGGGTAGGCCATCTGTGAATGGTGGGTGCTTATTACAGAGGTAAGGAGTGTCCTAGGAGATTTAGAATACCTAGACAAGATCTATACTTTGTAATTCTAAAATTATATTACTTTAGCTGTGATTTGTAAACTGTTCTATTTGTTGGCAAAGGAAGCAAGCTTTTTAGGGAAAAAAATGTATCTTGACATATTTTGCCTCAGATACTTTCATGGTGGATTAGACCAGGTCGTAAGTTCACACATTTTCAAGTTCCATCACTTGGCCTAATGAGGAAGTATGTTAGTTCATAGTGGTATTTCACTGAAACAGCATAATATGATATTTGTATTCTTCTCATTAATGATACTCAGGTAGTTTTCTTACAGGGGAAGGTGAACCTATTCTTGGGACTTAACTTTAAGTTCTTGGATCTTACTTTCTGAAACATGGCAATAATAATTTAAAGTGGCAGGGGCCAAACAACTGTCTATCACATCTCCCAACATTCAGTAGTTAAGACCTGATTATTATGGAGAGGAGGCAATGCAGTGCTGCAAGGATTGGCTTAAAGAATTTTCTGAATGATCAGATGTAAGTGTGGGCATTAGTTTGGAAGTGTTAACTACTTATTTCTGGAGTTGGGCTGAGGTAGCCCACACTACCAAATTTGTAGAGAACTAAACCTCCATCTTGTAGAAATTCTGATTATTTTAGTAACTGGTAATCTGAAAATATGAAGTTATATGATGCACAGTAATAATTCATTATCACTTGATTTTGAAGAAGTCCATTCTTCGTACCTCACACTCCAAAATAGCTAGTTAGGACAGTGGTGGTTTCATAAAAGCTATTGGGTAACAGTTGTTGATCATTTAGGAGAGAAGGAATATTAATGATAATAGCAATTCAGTTTATTCTCTTTACTGTATTAAGTGTATGTGTTTACTTTTCAAAAACTTGTATAACATGTATCTCTAATATGTATAGCATATTTTTATTAAAAAGTTCATTGTAAATGTGAAATTTGGGTTCCTTTGGTGTTGCAGACAATAAAAAAAATACACAAAAAAATGTTTGTTTGTGTTACATATCTCTACTGTGTTACCAGTATATCCAAAATATCTTTTCAAGGAAAAATTATACTAACTTGGACTCTTTCCTTTTGTGGAAAATGACAGCCTTTTCTCTTGTCAGATACATTTATTCATTAATTGTTAATATGCAAATTCTCCCTAGTTTTGTCACACTGCTATAGATGATGGTGAAATTTATAAATAGGAATTGGGTATTTCTAAGATTGCTTCCTATTTACTGATAATTTTGGTTACCAGAGATCTAAAGCAGAAGTCACAAATTGGTGGGCTCTAGGCTGAATTGCTAGGCAGTGGTGTGATGCCCTTCAGACTTGGTTTCTACACATCCCTGCATGAACTCAATAAGCATTTGAGTCGATGTTTCCCAAATTTGGACACTTCAAGAAATTATGTGTACAGAATTGGTTTGTGAATTATTACATACTTAAATGGTTGTGTTTGCTTTTATGCAATAGTTATGATCCTTAAAACTGCCTAGAAGAATAGTTTTACCATCACATTCAGTAATTACTTTAAAACTGATACTTGATTTGTGGTGATTTCACTTAGCTTGGATTTCTCTGCCCAGAATTTTAATTTTTTTTATAGTTAGTAATTTTTAACATTTAAATTAGAACATTAGAGCACCAATCTAGTGTGAATAACATTCAAAGGAAACCTGAAGAAAATTCTAGAAAGCAGTTTCTTTAATGGTAATATTTAATTTTTAATATAACTTTCATGTTTTAATATTTTTTTTCTTACTGTGAACTTCACTATAATGTTTGGTTATTTTTAATTATAAGCTAGAGGGATCTATGAGGTATTTGATTTGGTACCCCAAAAAGCCTGTTGACTCTGTCCTGTAAAATGTTCCCTTTGAAAGCTTTAAAATATCCGAATTGGAACTCTAAATATTACATTGGTAATTATTTCACTAGTGTTACATAGTAGAAATGGTTCCCATATACTCATCACAATACCTTCAATTTAGTATATAACATTGTTCGGTGGATACAGTAGATAATTAATAGCTATTAATCCACAACAAATACTTGCCTTGGATATGAGTTGATGCATGAATACACTATTATTTTCTCAGAAGGTGAAGTATTTCAAATGAAAAACACAGGGAAGGTCTTGTACAAAAACTGGAAAGCTGCTTATCACATTTGTCCCCATGTCCCTCTGTGCTTCCTAGGCTATAGAACTCCAGCCTAAAGTCTTTCTTAAGTTTAAATCTTTCTGACATATATCACTTTGGGCTTGAGGAAGGTGGGAAGGGCAGACACTCTGGGCTCTAGATTGATTTTGGTAGACAATGATGTTGCTGTGAAGAATTTCAGGTAAGATTTTTTTTTCCCCCCAGCTAATGTTGAAAGTAAAATTCCCCAGGGAAATCTCATTCAGTG